AGAGCAACGTCAATCGCGGCTACACTGTCACTCATTGCACTAAGTGGTGGTGATAGTGGTTATGGTGATTGATGTTGGTGGTGCTGATGTTGATGGTGCTGGTGGTGTTGACGTTTGTAGGCGCAGAGGAACAAGGAGGATGTGTCTGACATCAGCCCGCTCTTCGTCGTAGCAGTGGAACACAGGGTGAGTGCAGACGTGTACATACACACGCCTACACACACACCTACACTCACACACTCACACGCCTACACACTCGCACACGCCTACACACTCACATGCCTACACACTCACACGCCTACACACTCACACACGCCTACACACACATGCCTACACACTCACACGCCTACACACTCACACACACACGCCTACACACTCACACGCCAACACACTCGCACAAGCCTACAGTCACACACACGCCTACACACTCACACCTACACACACACTCTTACACAAATACAAAGATCCCCCGTATAGCCTTCACATACTGTTGCGGCAAGTGCTGTTAACGAGTAGCACCTATGAAGGCCGGAAAGGTATACCAGGGGGTGGGAGGCCAGCACCACGCCCTACCGCCTTTGTCTCCCTAGTGGCGATGTTTGCACACTGCACCAGGTACTAATTTGAGGCTGAGTCGACCTAGGGGAGGCCCAGGATCGGTTCAAATAATCGTCACTGGTGTTGGCCGTAAGCGGGAATCGAACTCGGGTTGCCGGTTTCGTAGCGCAGCGCGCTAACCGCTACACCGCCGCTCCCCACCAGACAAAGACCCCCGTATAGCCATAACTGACTGTTCAGATTATAATGAATCTGTTCAGATAATCATCGCCGCTGTTGGGAAGGCGAGGTGCGCCTTCAGGCCACGTGGTGTGTGTGCTTGGCTCACTGGCAGGAGGTCAGAGATATAGACCCAGGTGCCATGGGTGGACTGACTGAGGTGACAGGCAGAGGGCACCACCTGTGCTCCCCACTGCGGTTTAGCCGCCCCGGTGCTCCGCTCGTTGTTGCATCGCTCCTCTGTCGCGCCACTGCTCCTCGTACAAACACATGTGTAAAAACATGTATGCACACATATATAGAGCACGTAACGGTGTGATGTGTTTATTGCTACGTAACGGTGTATGTGTGTATTACCATGTATCAGTGTGCTGTGTGTATGGCTATGTCACGGTGTGGTGTGTGTATTTCCATGGAATAGTGTGGTGTGTGTATTGCTATGTATCGGTGTGCTGTGTAACGGTGTGTGCTGTGTGTATGGCTGTGTAACGGTGTGTGCTGTGTGTATGGCTGTGTAACGGTGTGTGCTGTGTGTATGGCTGTGTAACGGTGTGTGCTGTGTCTATGGCTGTGTAACGGTGTGTGCTGTGTGTATGGCTGTGTAACGGTGTGTGCTGTTTGTATGGCTGTGTAACGGTGTGTGCTGTGTGTATGGCTGTGTAACGGTGTGTGCTGTGTCTATGGCTGTGTAACGGTGTGTGCTGTGTGTATGGCTGTGTAACGGTGTGCTGTGTGTATTGCCATGTAACGGCGTGGTGTGTGTATTGCTATGTAACGGCGTGTCGTGGTGTGCTGTGTGTATGGTGTGGTGTTATGGTGTGGTGTGTGTATGGCTGTGTAACGGTGTGTGGTGTCTGTATGGCTGTGTAACGGTGTGGCGTGGTGCGCTGTGTGTATGGCTATGTAACGGTGTGTGGTGTCTGTATGGCTATGTAATGGTGTGTGGTGTCTGTATGGCTATGTAACGGTGTGTGCTGTGTGTATTGCCATGTAACGGTGTGCTGTGTGTATGGCTGTGTAACGGTGTGGTGTGTGTGTGGCTGTGTGACGGTGTGCTGTGTGTATGGCTATGTAACAGTGTGGTGTGTGTATTGCCATGTAACGGTGTGGTGTGTGTATTGCTATGTATCAGTGTGGTGTATGTATTGCTATGTAACAGTGTGTGCTGTGTGTATGGCTGTGTAACGGTGTGTGCTGTGTGTATGGCTGTGTAACGGTGTGGTGTGTGTGTGTGGCTGTGTAACGGTGTGCTGTGTGTATGGCTATGTAACGGTGTGGTGTGCTGTGTGTATTGCCATGTAACGGTGTGGTGTGTGTATTGCTATGTAACGGCGTGGTGTGCTGTTTGTATGGCTGTGTAGCGGTGTGGCTTGGTGTGCTGTGTGTATTACCATGTATCAGTGTGGTGTGTGTGGCTATGTAATGGTGTGTGCTGTGTGTATTACCATGTAACGGCGTGGTGTGTGTATGGCTATGTAACGGTGTGGCTTGGTGTGTGTATGGTGTGCTGTGTGTATGGCTGTGTAACGGTGTGTGCTGTGTGTATTACCATGTATCAGTGTGCTGTGTGTATTGCTATGTAACGGTGTGGCTTGGTGTGTATGGCTGTGTAACGGCGTGGTGTGCTGTGTGTATGGCTGTGTAACGGTGTGGCTTGGTGTGTGTATGGTGTGCTGTGTGTATGGCTATGTAACGGTGTGTGGTGTGTGTATGGCTGTGTAACGGTGTGTCTTGGTGTGCGGTGCGGCAGGGCGTGTGGGGCGGGCCGCTCGTGGCCACGGAGGTGGTGGCGGCGCTGGTCGGCGTCGGCCTCTACGCGTTTGCCTACCGGGCCAAGGGCCTCATCCAGAGCTAGCGCTCGCCTCGCTCACCGGCACCAGTTCGCCTCGCCACTCGCACCGCACGCGCACACACGGTCACACCACACCCACCCACCCACCCACGCGCCCGCCGTCCGTCCGTCCCTCGTGTGAACTCGGAGATGTTTGAATAAAACCAGCGGTGGCCAAATCTCGCAGCGTCCCTCGTGATGTTTGCGTTGTCGAGGGTGAACGCACGTCGATCGGTGCACGGACATCGCAGCACCAACATCACAGAAGCAATCTTAATTTTGGAGCTTTCGTGACTGCAGGAATTATTCTTTGGTTCTTTCGGTAAAGTCACGTATAAAGATAACATAATAAATTAAATAATAGCATACTACGACGTTTCGATTGCAACACAAGCAATCATATATGCTTATATGTCTGTCTATAGTTTTCTAGTTAGATTTTTGTTGCTATTTCTTTTATACCTGATGATGATTGCTTGTGTTGCAATCGAAACGTCGTAGTATGCTATTATTTAATTTATTATGTTATCTTTATACGTGACTTTACCGAAAGAACCGAAGAATAATCACAGAAGCAGCGCGTGGGTTCGACTCCCGACCCGGACGTCGCTTCTCTGTGTGGAGTTTGTGTTTCTCCCTCTGCCGCATTGGTGTCCTCCGGTTTCCTCCTTCCAGAGCTAAAGCCCCACACCCAGTGGAACTGGTATTGGGGCTAGGCCACATCCACAATGCCGATGACGTTCACTGAAAATCTCTCAACTGGGATCGCAAAGCAGCAGCATCACGCCCTAGTGGTGCGACAAGCTTGGCAGGACCCTCCTGAGCACGAGTCTTGAGACTCAAACTAAACAGACGGTGAGGACCCTGACCCACGGTGAGTCTCGGAGTGTCTCGCCGTCTTGTGTATGTCCACGCCCTGCACAAGTGAAAGTGGCTCTGTCGCTTGATTAAAAGTGTGCGTCTATATATCTGTCTCTGAGTTTCCATAACTGCTCACAGATGTGAATTCCTGAACAGCAGGGACGTGGGGGGAGAGGGGTGGGGGTAATGGCAGCCACGTGCAGGACTCCCACCTCCTGTACCCCCCCCAGACCCCTCCCCCCCAAACCCCTCCCCTCCTCCCCTGAAGAGCAACGAGTCGAGATTGAGTTCGAAGTGATTGAGCTGTCCAGTTGCTTTGTGAGTTGGTGATTTGCAGGTACTGTACACCCACCCATTCACTCCCCCACACCCACTCACCCATTCACACCCCACATTCACCCATTCACACCCCCACACTCAACAGCCCACTCACCCGCCCACCCCCACCCACTCACCCATTCACTCCCCCACTCACCCCTCCACTCACCCCTCCACTCATCACCAAGTCACCTACTCACCCATCCACGTCTTCACCTGTGTGTGTAGCAGTGCCAGGTTCTATGGCCGTGGTGTTCATAGCCGCAGTTGCCCACAGGAGGAATCTCCGAGTCTCCTCCACTCGTGCACCTGGTGTCCTCGCTGATGAGCTGTGTGGAGTGGAAGCCGGTAATGTGGTGGTGGAGGGCTCGCTGATGAGATGTGTGGAGTGGAAGCCAGTAGTGTGGTGGTGGAGGGCTCGCTGATGAGATGTGTGGAGTGGAAGCCGGTAATGTGGTGGTGGAGGGCTCGCTGATGAGATGTGTGGAGTGGAAGCCAGTAGTGTGGTGGTGGAGGGCTCGCTGATGAGATGTGTGGAGTGGAAGCCGGTAGTGTGGTGGTGGTGGTGGTGGAGGGCTCGCTGATGAGCTGTGTGGAGTGGAAGCTTGAGGCGATGGACTTTCCTGCTTAAACACATTCCTCCTGCGGAGGGAGCTGGTAGGAACGTTGGGTTGCTCGGTCAATGGCCAGGGTCAACGGCGGCGTGGTGTATTCCGCAAATATGCCCGATTGTGAGGGCGGGCACAAGCCGGCGTGAGTAGGTTAAACGTTGAGTTGTATAAGGGCACCACGGGGTAACCAGCCACTCCCCACCCAGCCCCACCCCCCACCCAGCCCCTCCCTGGACGACGGACGGACGGACACAATAATCCCCTGTGGGCTGGTGTAACCAGGAGGTTCCTACCAGTAAAACTCTGTTTAGCTTTGGTGTCTGTGGGGAGCCAGTGTCCCTCCAGCGAGTCCCACCCCTTGACCAGGGCGAGGAGGAGGTGATGATGAGGAGGAGGTGAGGAGGTGATGATGATGAGGAGGCTGTGTGCTTGAGTAGCCACATCGCTCCTCCACACAAACCAACCCCCTCCCCTCAACCTCCTCCCCTGCACCAGAGCCCCTCCCCTACCCCACCCCGGCTCCCCCCCCACCCACATCCCACCAAACCCCTCCCCCCCGCACCAGAGCCCCTCCCCTCCCCACCCGCCTTTGTTCTGCGTGCGGTGTGCGAGCCACAGAGAGGGGTCGCGTTTTGTGCGGTGAGTGAGTGTGAGGAGCGGTGGCGCAGCGGTTAGCGCTCCGCTACGAGTTCACTTCACCGCTGGGCATCCCCAGTGCTGGAGAGACAAAGGCGGTCGGGCGTGCTTCTGGCTGCATAGTGTTGTTGTTGCATCACTTTTTGGGTTGTTGTGGCAGGTTTGTGCCAGGCTAGGTTCACCACGACCGCCAATATGGGGCCAATCTTCTTGCTGCTCCTGATGGTGGCAGCTCCAGGTAAGTCCCATGTGACTCGCTCACCCGTGCTCACCCACGACTCACCCACGACTCACCCACGACTCACCCACGACTCTTTAACCAGTGACTCACTCACCTGTGACGCTCACTCACCCGTGTTCCACCCACCCACGACCCTCTTAACTCGCGCTCCCGTCACGAGACCGTGACCGACTCACCCGTGGCTGCTGTCCGTCGTGTAGATGGAGAAGCTGGGAGAATCAGCAAGAGAGCTGGAGATGAGGTTCAGCAAGAAGGTGACCCATTTACTCACCCACTCATTCACCCACACACTCACCCACTCACCCACTCATTCACCCACTCACCCACCCACTCACCCACCCACTCACCCACTCACTCACCCACTCACTCACCCACTCACTCACCCACTCACCCACTCACTCACCAACTCACTCACCCACTGACCCACTCACTCACCCACTCACTCACCCACACACTCACCCACTCACTCACCCACTCACTCACCCACTCACTCACGCCCGGTCTCACCAGTGGCGATGTTTACGCACCAGGTACTCATTTGAGGCTGAGTCGACCTAGGGGAGGGGCCCAGGACCGGTTCAGATAATCGTCACTGGTGTTGACCGTGAGCGGGAATCGAACACGGGTCGCCGGGATCGTATCGCAGTGCACGAACACACATTCACACATCACTCCATCTCTTCTCCAGCCCGTTCTATGCCCGTTCAGCCCCCTCTATCCGGCCAAACAGAAGCTGTTTGGCCATGCGGTGGCTGGGTCATGTGGCCCACATGACCCAGCCAATGCAGCCTCGCCTGCCGGAGGAACTCTCCGATGGGACTGTGTCCAGGTCTCTGGAGGATTTGTGAGCTCCTCACACAACCCAGTCTGGTTAAGGCCAGGACGGATCATCGACAGTGTCAGCCTGAATGTTTCCTTCATGGGAGTCCACGTTTTTGCAGTTATAGAGAAGGGAGGGCACAACTGTGGCTGACAAGACCTCGAGCGAGAGGCCAGGTAGCTTCCACACAGCGAGACGCAGCTGACGAAAAAGGTGATGCCACTCGACTGATTTTGGAGTGAGATCTCTGAGGCCAAACCCCGGGTACAGAGACTCCTCCCCTCTCCCATGCAGGTCACTCTTGCAAATGAGACTTCTACCCACGTCTCTCCAGTTCTCAGCTGGTCACACAAAATCTACTTGCCTATCAACACATTAACTCGCCTCCATCTCTACCCCCTCGCCCCCCCTCCTTCTATCCACCTCTCGTCTCTGTCTCATCACTCCCCCCCCTCCCTCCCCTTTCCACCTTCATTTCCCTATCCTCTCCTTACCTTTCGATTTAAAGCTTTCGTGACTGCAGGGATTCATCTTCTTGGTTCTTTCGGTAAAGTCACGTAGAAGGGAAATAATAAAATAATAAAAATAAAACATAATAAAATAATTCTCACCACGTTGCGTTGTGGCCGAAACGTCGTGGGGGGAAGAACCAAGAAGACTCTCCTTACCTCTTCCCCCTCTCGCCTCTCTCCCCTCTCCTCTACTTTCCTCCCCCCCCTCTACCCCCTCTCCCCTCTGTCTCATCTCTCTCGCCCCCCCCCTCTCCACCATCACTCTGTCTCATTCCTTTCCCTCCCGTTCTCTCCCCCCCCCTCACTCTCTCACCTCTCTCCTCTCCTCCCCCCCTTCTCCTCCTCTCCGTCTCATTCCTTTCCCTCTCTCCCTCTCTTTTTTTACGATCATTGGAAACAAGAAGATTATCGGTGTAGTCGGCACTTTGCTTCGTTCATCATTCAAATTTTTTTAAAAAAACTTTGCTTTATGTAAACCCCCACCTCTCGCTCACTCTCTCGGTCACTCCCTCGCTCACTCTCTCGGTTACTCTCTCGCTTTGTCACTCTCTCGCTCACTCTGTCGCTCACTCTCTCGGTCACTCTCTCGCTCTCTCTCTCGGTCACTCCCTCGCTCTCTCGCTCACTCTCTCGCTCTCTCGCCCACTCTCTCGCTCGCCCTCTCGCTCACTCTCTCGCTCGCTCTCTCGCTCTCTCTCTCGGTCACTCTCTCTCTCTCACTCTCTCGCTCTCTCTCCCTCTCCCCTCCCTCCCCGCAGTCTCCGTGGGCTCCCGGGCCGCCCACGCCTTCCTGCGGACCCGCCGCCAGGCCTGGGACCCCCAGGACCCCACGTTCTGGCGCCTGCACCAGCACTTCCTGCACCTGGGCCACTACGAGGCGGTGAGCGCCCCCCGCTGCCGCGGGCCCTCTTTATTCACCACGTGCTCCCCCGTGATCCTATTGCCCCCGTTGACCCCCCCTCGTGGGCCCCCTTGATCCCTGTGGTCTCCATTGACCCACGTGGCCCACCTTGACCCCGCGGTCCCCCTTGACCCCGTAGTTCCTCCCCTTGATCCCCACGGTCCTCCTTGACCCGCCACAGTCCTCCGTGACCCCCGGCAACCCCCCTTGGCCACCACGGCCCCCCTCGACCCCCCCCCCTCCCCTCGGCGTGCAGGTGTTTGAGATGGACGCGGCGTTCTGGGCTCTGCACGCGCGCGACCCCGAGGCCTCTCGCCGCCACTACCTCGACCGGCCCGACCCCGTCCTCGACCGCGACCCCGAGGCCGACCGCGACCCCGAGCCTCCGGGTCGCGACGACCCCGACCCTGACCCCGGCGAGTCCGAGCACGACCCCGGCAACCGGGAACCGGGGTTCGAGTACCAGGGCAGGGGGGGCGCCCCCCAGCGGGGAGCCCGGCGCCACGAGGGGGAGGAGGACGAGGAGGAGGAGGAGAGAGGTCAGGGCAGGGCCCCCCAGCGGTTCCACCACGGGGACTACGGCGACTACTGAGCCCGGGGTCTCACCACAGGGGTCCCGGGGTCACACCACAGGGGTCCCGGGGTAACACCACAGGGGTCCCGGGGTCAACGCCACTCACACCGAGGTCCTCCCAGCCCCCCTTTGCAGGATTCACTTTGAATCCACAAGCCCCCCCCTCCATGCCTCCCGGAGTCTCTCATAGTCTCCAGGGCCCCCCCATCAGTGTGCACGGTTCCCAGCTTAACTTCTTAGGGGTCCCCCCCCCCCCCATTTCATTCCCAGGAGGGGGTCCGCGATCGAACCCCCCGAGATGACTCTGAGATCCTCTACCTTAGCTAGCGGAGTTCCGTTTAACCGCCACGAGGAGGGGGTCTTAATTCCCTTGCTCCCCCCTCCCCCTTTTCATTTTCAGGGATCCCAGTTAGAACCCCCGCTTCTCACCCACCCCAATGTTTACCCCCTTTATCCCCGGGGTCCCTAAGTCGACAGCAGCTGTCAGTTGCAGGGACGGGAAGAATCCAAGCGGCGTGTGCGCTAGGCACGGACGACAAGCTGCAAGTTACACGCTGATCCAGTGCCGGATGAAGCGCGTGCGGGTCCTGTAGCATCTGTTATGAAGGGGCCCTAAATAAATAAATAAAACACGTAAATATGAAAAAAACACATTTTTATACTTGCATAGTAAAGTAATTGTATTTTTCCATTTGCTATACAGCCAGATAATAACGATAATATCGCTAACCTTAAACACCCAGTCGTTCATAAAAGTTGAAGGCGGTATAGTACTATAGTAATAGAGCAAGTGCAGAATCACTGAATCGGAATTGGTAGCTTGAAAGCATTTAACGCGGGGGCCCTTGAAAGTGCGGGGCCCGTAGCTACACGTGTAGCTACTACACGTGTAGTTACTACACATGTAGCTACTACACATGTAGCTATTACACGTGTAGCTACTACACGTGTAGTAGCTACTACACATGTAGTTACTACACATGTGTAGTAGCTACTACACGTGCAGCTACTACACACGTGCAGCTACTACACGTGTAGCTACTACACGTGTAGCTACTACACGTGCAGCTACTACACGTGTAGCTACTACACATGTAGCTACTACTCTTTGGTTCTTTCGGTAAAGTCACGGAGATAGAAAAACAATGGATCACGACGTTTCGATCGCAACGCACGCAATCGTCGTCAGGTGGGACAACCACAGCAAGTAGACACTGCTGAAGTAGCTGTGGTTGTCCCACGTGATGCCGATTGCTTGCGTTGCGATCGAAACGTCGTGATCTATAACACCGGTCAACACACGTTTTCTGGCACAAGCTATTCCAACGGTTCTAAGGTAATGTTGGGGTGCTGATTCCAAATCTGGCATCAGTTTTTGTCTATCACATCAGGTTTTTGAGATATCAAATATTGCATTTTCAATAAAAACTGCAGAAGAAAAATATTAAATAAATGTGGATATCTACATAAAATGATATTATAAACACACTATCCTAAAAATACAGCACCATATTTTAACGCTAAAGCAGTCACTGACTCACAACAACTTGCAATCATACTTGACAGAGTTAATTTCGGGTAAAATCAATGAAAATGGGGTATGTCGATAGCATAAAATGAGATGTGATAGAGCAAATCTGAAATCAGATTTGGAATCGGCACCCTGAAATTAGTCTAAAACAGCTGCAAAAGTCCAGGCCAGAAAAAAAATGTTTTTTTTTGGTTGACCAATGTTATTATTTCTACCCACGTGACTTTACCGAAAGAACCAACGACTATGGATTCCTGCAGTCACGAAAACTTCAAATCAAGATTCACATGTAGCTACTCTTGCTACTAGAATAACCCGGCACTGCGCTGATCAGCCGTAGCCTACAGGTCGGTTGCATGGAATCTAAATCACGTGTAGATGTGCACGTGACCCAAGGCAGGGACAATTCTCCGCCGGGCAGCTGCCACTGTTGGCGGTGATGCAGAGGTCGCCGATTCGGTTCCATCTCCCGGCGCGGCAGCTGAAGCGATGGGAGGGCTGGGAGGGTGCTCAAGAGCCCCACCCCCACCCCCCACTTCCCCTCCACCGCAGTGAAGTCGAGGATGGGCAGGGTTCGTCGTCGTTGTGTGGTGGTGGCGGCGGTGGTGGCGGTGATGGCGGTGGTGGTGGCAGTGATGGCGGTGGTGGCGGTGGTGGCGGCGGTGGTGGCGGCGGTGGTGGTGGTGGCGGTGGCAGTGGTGGTGGTGGCGGTGGTGGTGGCGGTGGTGGTGGCGGTGGTGGCGGTGGTGGTAAAGTTGTGGGAGACTTTCCAAGCGGCCTCTTGCACGACGTCCTGGCCGGCCTCTGGTGGAGGCCCCTTCCGCTAGCGGTGGCACGTGCGAGGACTTGCAGGCCTGCGCCTGTGCCTCTGGATTCGGGGCCCAGCTTCTCTCTGCAGGCCCCCCCCCCCATCCCCCTGAATTCCGTGGGGGGAAGGGGGGGGGTGCTGATCTTGTCTGTGACCTGTGACCCTGTGACCCCGTGACCCCGTGACCCCGTGACCCCGTGACCCCGTGACCCAACTCACTGTGGAATAAATCAATATATAGAGGCAAAGTCTGACGGAGACTCCCGGAGTTTATTGTGAGACCATCACCACCATCACCATCACAACCACCATCACCATCATCACCATCATCACCATCACAACCACCATCACCACCGTCACCGTCCCTGCCTCTTGTTCTTGACCGTGTGGCGCTGGAGCGACGGGGCCTATTCCGGGTAGAGGAGAATCCCCGAGAACATGGAGTCATTGTTGTTGTCAGCGTAGATTCCTCCGTTCTCCGGTCCGCCAAACACCTCGAGCCACACCTACACACCACCGCCACCATCACCGCCACCGCCACCATCACCGCCACCATCACCGTCACCGCCACCGTCACCGCCACCATCACCACCGCCATCACCGTCACCACCACCATAATCACCGCCACCACCATCATCACCGCCACCATCACCACCACCGCTACCACCATCAACCACCACCACCACCGCCACCATCACCGTCACTGCCACTTTCATCGCCACCGCCACCATCACCGCCACAATCACTTGCCTCGACAACATTAACATCACTAGCATCATCACGAACACCAACCTCAACTGACATCATAATCATGATTCATGAACATCATCATCATCCCCCCCTCCCCTCTACCTCCATCAGCCTTCCCCATCACTCATCACCATCATCATCCAACCATCACCCCCCCACCACATCACTCATCATGCTCCCTCCATCACCCACAGAGGCGTAGCTGGGGGGGGGCAGGGGGGTACATATGTCCCCAGGCGCCAAGGTAAAGGGGCGCCAAAATGAGGCTTACAACGTCACTGTGGTGCCACAACGACGGGGCTGCTCTGCCGAGCCAGGGAGCCGCCCGGCTTCCACCACTGCACTGCCCCCCATCACCCCCCCCCACATAAGCACGCACCCGCACCCACGTAGGGCCTTGTGGTCGGGTCACCTACCCTGAGTTTTCACCCGAGGGCCCCCTCGGGGGGTTACCCCACGGTTTCTCAGGGCCAGGGAATTGGACAGGACCCTTCCCAGGCTAAGTAACACTGCGGCGCCGTGGGCGGATTTGAGATTGCACGACCACGGCGAGCTCAGAGAGCCCCGCAGTTAGAAACGCATACAAACACAAACACGGGTCAGCAAGGCAGATAGCTAGGATCAGGACCCGGGGCTGCTGATTGGTCAAAAGGTCAAAGGCCGGCGGGATCGCAAAAGGGCGGGAAATCCTAGGCTCAGGATTGGTCGAGAGACCAAGGCGGTCGGGACGGGGGCGCCTAGCCTTTGATGTGGATAGTTTAAAAGAAAACGCAGGGGCAGTAGGGAGTTCTCTTCTTCTGGAGTAGTGACACGGGGTCAACGACGAGGGAGTCATCGGGCGAGCCGCAGGATCGTCTGCAGGACGACCTGAGTGCCGCAAGGTCACCTAGGACTACAGACGGTATCGTATTACACGCCTTACAACACCTCAGAGCGGAGAGTAGGATCCGTAGGAGAGGGTTAGTTCGGGGTAAGGACGAGTAGGAAAGCGGTTTAACAGAGAGCGCAGCATAGAATAGGGCTGTACGCCACTAGAGAGTGGGTTAGAAGCGCCTTGCTGGCCCGCACACACACACGGGTGGCTCGGTGGGTTAACAAGGGCTAATAAAATCTCGAGCGTAGTAACAAAACCGTGTTGTTGGGTGTTTTTGAACGTGGTATTAGCGTGCACTGCATTCGCGGGTGTGTGGTCGTTGTATGCGTAAAGGCCGTGGTCTCTGTACGATTGTGCGGGGACGGAGGTGTGTGTGTTAACGCCCGGGGAGAGCACTTTTGTGTGTCGGCGTGTGCCCCGCTTGCGTGTGCTCGTTACGTGCGTAAAGTTGCGGCGCGGTGGTGGGTCCCTGACCCCCAGCCCCGCGGCTCGAGCGCGTAATCGGCTGCGCATTGTTGTACGGTTTATCTCGCGCGCACGGCGGCGGCAACTTGAGTCGTTGTGTCGGCGTGTGCCCCACTTGCGTGTGCTCGTTACGTGCGTAAAGTGCGGCGCGGTGGTGGGTCCCTGACCCCCAGCCCCGCGGCTCGAGCGCGTAATCGGCTGCGCATTGTTGTACGGTTTATCTCGCGCGCACGGCGGCGGCAACTTGCGTCGTTGTGTCGGCGTGTGCCCCGCTTGCGTGTGCTCGTTACGTGCGTAAAGTGCGGCGTGGTGGTGGGTCCCTGACCCCCAGCCCCGCGGCTCGAGCGCGTAATCGGCTGCGCATTGTTGTACGGTTTATCTCGCGCGCACGGCGGCGGCAACTTGCGTCGTTGTGTCGGCGCGTGCCCCGCTTGCGTGTGCTCGTTACGTGCGTAAAGTGCGGCGTGGTGGTGGGTCCCTGACCCCCAGCCCCGCGGCTCGAGCGCGTAATCGGCTGCGCATTGTTGTACGGTTTATCTTGCGCGCACGGCGGCGGCAACTTGAGTCGTTGTGTCGGCGCGTGCCCCGCTTGCGTGTGCTCGTTACGTGCGTAAAGTGCGGCGTGGTGGTGGGTCCCTGACCCCCAGCCCCGCGGCTCGAGCGCGTAATCGGCTGCGCATTGTTGTACGGTTTATCTCGCGCGCACGGCGGCGGCAACTTGAGTCGTTGTGTCGGCGCGTGCCCCGCTTGCGTGTGCTCGTGTGATCCCGTGTTATAAGTGTGAACGCGTGTGGTACGGTGTATGCGTAAGCTCTCGTCGTGCGAAATCGGCGTACCCCAGGTGCGCGATCGTAACGTGAGCGGCCAGCGCGGCGCAGAGCGGCGCAAGAGTGAGTGCCGTGCAGAGCTGTGTGTGTGGGTGTGCACGTACGTAATTAACCATGCCTGCTACGCGGACCCACGGTGGAGGGGAATCCTCGGGCGACGGCTCCCACACCATGGGTGAAGAACTTAGCAGCGGTTCGCTTAGCAGCGGGGGGGCGATTGATGATGCTAGCCCGGCCGTTAGCGTTATCGAGGGAGGGATCTCGGGGGCTAGCGACCCCCACAAATTGGTGTCGGAAGCGGTACGGACCCCCGCGTTACCTCACGCTAAAATAAGACTAATATTTACCGGCCGGGGGGCCCCTTCGTGGAAGGCATTCGCCCGCAATCTCTTAGGGGCCAAGGAAATTAATGGATGGACGGACGCGCAGGCAGTACGTCAACTTAATATGAATCTTGATGGGCGGGCAGCCGATTTTGTAGAAGCGTTACCCGCGAGCGCACAGACACAGCTAGAGGAGCTGATGCGCCGACTCGATCAGCGTTTTGGCACGCATGACGAGGAGGAAGCAAAATCGGCCTTAGAGGCGCGCTGTCGCCAACCTGGCGAAGATCTACGTGATTACGCCGAGGATTTGCGCGAGTTAACAAAGATTGCACGCCCGGGGTACACAACTGATGTTATTGAGGAACTGGCCGCCGAAAAAATCCAGCGGTACCTGTCTTGCACGGCGTGGTGGCAGCCAGACATGAGCTGCCCACGTCTTCCCTTTAACACCCTTGTCGAGCGCGCACGTAAGTGTGAAAGAATTCACAGCGAACGCGCGCAGCTCCGGGGGCTGGGACGAGAGCGCGCCATTGCGAGCCTGCTCTCGGAAGACGAGGAGGAGGAACAGGAGCTCGCGAGGACGGTAAGGGGCCGAGAAAGAGAGCCTCCAGTGTCCCGCGAGACAACCCCGGGATGGGTTGCCGGTATACAAACGGGTATAAAGGATGTCTCCGGCCAGGTAACCCAGGTACGCGAGGAAACGAATAAAAATATGACCCAACTGCAATCCTCCGTTGAGACCATCCGATCCGAAATGGGGGACCTACGCGCCACGGTGGGAGGGTTATCTGGGAGGGTAGCCCGACTAGAGGTGGATGGTGGACAGCGGCGTAATGGGGGGGGAGGGAGTGGGCAGGGGGCCCACTACGGAGCCGCCCCCCCTCCCCGGGCATGTTATATGTGCGATCGCCGAGGGCATCTAGTGAGGGACTGTCCTCAGGTCGCCCGAGCTAGACAAGAGCTAAGGTCAAACACTAAGGCCCCCCTAGAGAGGGGACCACCGGGGGGTGAAATCGACGTAGCCCCGACACAAACAAGCTGTGAGAATAATGGCGAGCGAGTGATCTCCACACAGGTTCCAGCAACAACGCCCACAGAAACGGTGACTCCTGGCGACTGGCTGCGGGAGCTGGTGGCGGGGATCACGGGGGCCACGTCGCTGGTGGAAGGGGAGGTAAAAGGAGTGCGTACCCGAATCCTGCTGGACACGGGGGCGGTGGCCTCGCTCGTGAGCGCAGCGCACTGCAGCGCGATCGGGGTCGACGTGCGTCACCTGCAGGCACCGGACCGCGCGCTGCTGGGGAGAGCCACCCTAGAGGTCCGCATAGGCAGTCAGGTGTGCACCCAGGAGTTCTACGTGTCGAGTGCGTTGTGTCACGAGTGTATCGCAGGTACCGACCTCTTAGAACGGCTGGGACTCAACGTGCAACCCCGCCAGCGATGCGCCACCATGGAGAGCAACGGCGAGCGGATACCGTTCTTGGGACGAGAACCGACGCGCCCCCGCTTCGCACCTGTGGCCGCTATCCTGGTGACGGCAGTCACCATCGGCCCGCTCACCGAGATGCTGGTGCCGGTGGCAACATCCCCCACCGACCCCGCGCTCCGACCATCAGGGGAGGTAATGCTAACTCCTCACCCGGAGTTGGCAAAACGGTATGGGATAGTGGGATCCGCCACGTTGGTAAACGCAGATGGGGACCGATTGTTTATGCGGATGTTTAACCCCCACAATACCCCAGCGATACTACGACGGCGCACCCCGATAGCCACCGTACACCCCCTGCACGCACGCCACTCTAACGACTCGGTGTTCGCACTCTGGGCTGAGGACCCCGGGCGTCCTGAGGGTGACCAGGACCTGGCCTGGCGAGTCGGCCCGACTCCCCGAGCCGAGGTCGTTCCCCTGCTCGACGCGTTACATGTACCATGGGCGGATTTACCTAAGGGAGAGGCCGATCGGCTGCGCAAGTTACTGCGGGAGTATGCCGACGTATTCAGTGAACACGACTCGGACGTGGGTCGGACCGATCTTGTTAAGCACCAAATTGACACCGGTGCAGCCCGACCCATCAAACTCCCTGCGTACCGAGTGGGCGCACCTGAACGCGCCCAAATCAAAGAGGCAGTTGGGGACATGCTTCGCGATAACATAATTCAGCCCT